AATTGCCCATTGATTCAACCGTTTTACGATTGTCTTTCTGTTATTATTTTTCAAATTTTAATTTTAATTTCTGAAGCTATTTTACTTACTTTTAGAATTGTGACCAAAAACTTTATTACAAATCACAGAATATATTTTTTTGTGAAAAATCAAAAACTGGAGCTGACTGTCGAAATGGAGCATTGCCTTGACACCTTCGTCTTAAGGCGCTATTGATAGGTATGTCATAACCGAATTGCCCATTGATTCAACCGTTTTACGATTGTCTTTCTGATATTATTTTTCAAATTTTAATTTTAATTTCTGAAGCTATTTTACTTACTTTTAGAATTGTGACCAAAAACTTTATTACAAATCACAGTATAGATTTTTTTGTGAAAAATCAAAAACTGGAGCTGACTGTCGAAATGGAGCATTGCCTTGACACCTTCGTCTTAAGGCGCTATTGATAGGTATGTCATAACCGAATTGCCCATTGATTCAACCGTTTTACGATTGTCTTTCTGATATTATTTTTCAAATTTTAATTTTAATTTCTGAAGCTATTTTACTTACTTTTAGAATTGTGACCAAAAACTTTATTACAAATCACAGAATAGATTTTTTTGTGAAAAATCAAAAACTGGAGCTGACTGTCGAAATGGAGCATTGCCTTGACACCTTCGTCTTAAGGCGCTATTGATAGGTATGTCATAACCGAATTGCCCATTGATTCAACCGTTTTACGATTGTCTTTCTGTTATTATTTTTCAAATTTTAATGCTAAAGCTTCCAGCTTAAAATAATTGAATAATTGCCTAAAAACAGTTTATTATGATATTATTTTTTCAAATAAAGTTTCTGAAATTGTTCTGAAAAAAACTGAAAGACCTTACTTTGTCGGTTAAATAAGATGAGAAAGACTTTTGTCGCAGGCGGTGGTTCAGTTTTTTCTCCCCGCAAAATCAAGTACCACAATTAATCATCAAGATGGGTCAAGTTAGGAACCATATTGAGGCCTTTTCGGTCGTGATTCCATCGAACTTAAAAATTTGCACAAGCTCGCTGTGACAAAAAACACCGGTTTTTGGTTTGTTTAATGTCTAATTGAAGCAAGCGATTAGGTGGTAGCTGTTAGACAAAATTGCAGTGTTTTTTTTCTGAGCCTTTTCTTGGCGATAGATTTTTTTAATTCAAAAAAATTACAGAATAGTTGATTTTTTGTTTTGTTTTGTATTGTGAACGCAAGTTATTTGAAGACAACTGAAGTCGGTACGTTTTTTTTTTGGCGATAATGATTGGTTTGTACAATTTTATTTTTATTGGAATATATCACCACAAACTAGGGCAATGCACATTCAACTGAGTTCACTTTTCAATCAAATCCTTTATCAATTTTGACGATTGAACTCATTTTGCTTTGATATTGCATCCTTTTTCCTGCGCCTCGTTTTCTTTCCGCCGCTATCCTTAAATTGTTTTTTCATTTGTTTTGTTCTGGTTTTCCTTCTCGGACTCTGCTGACCGCAAATGGAAGGGTGATCTTGACACATGATATGGTGTTTGAACCAATGAAACGTCAGCTGAGATCCAGGGTCGAAGAAGTCGATTGTCATCGAAGGCATTCCTGGAATTCCTTTAGAAAAGTCATTTCCTAGAATCAGGTAAGAAGTTCCCTCTCTGACATTTGAGTGATGAACTCGTCTCAGTGGGCCAGGACCAAAACCGACTTCAGAGATAACGTTAGAGCAAGCCTCTTTCGAATAGGTAGCCTGCAAGCTCACAAAAAAATCATGGTTATTTATTTGTAACACAAAATATTCAATTCTTTCAAAAAACAAAGAAGAAAAAATATAGATTATTGTCTTTGTCAAATGGCATAAATCTCAAATACCATACAAATGAAAAAGTCCCCAGAAACCATACAAATACTGTGAAATAATTTTCTGTGAACAAGATAAGAAAATTAGATAAGTTATTAATTCAATTATTGATTGACATTTTATCTTGAAAAAAAATGAATAAAGTGTTTATTCTCTAGCGGTTACCACAAAATTGTTTGTGATTTTTTTTGTGAAATTATAACTTTTTTTTGAAAAATTTTAACTCCTGAAAAAACGTTCCTGACAAAAACTTGGAAATTATAGCTGATTAAAAGCTTGGTTGACAAGGAAAATTTATGACATTCAAGAAAAGTTTCACTTTTATGCCACTGAGAAACTATGACTTGTATTAAGCTACCCATCAACGCCAGAAATAACATAATAAACTGGTGATAAAACCAATTCTTAAGGTATTATAAGACTGTTTCTGTTTTTTTTTCTTCAAAATTTGTATCAGTTCAGCAGGTGTATCAAACTTTATATAACGCAGATAACAAATCTTTGAACAAATTAACTATAGACTTAGTATGAAAAAATTAGATCAACACTAATATTAGAAAAATGAAAGACATCGTAGTGCAATTTAATTTTTCAATCAAGAAATACCCTAGAAATAATTGTTTCATCAAATTTTGAATATCCAAAACCTAAGGCAGAGAAAGTTTTCTGGCAACAACTTAAAGCTTCAAAACTGAAAGTAAGGAATGGTTCAGAAAAGTGGTTCAACCAAATTGTATCTAATTGTTTCGGCTTTTGAAAAAAATGACCATTTTTGATGACCAATAACTAACCATTTTTTAAATTGAAATAAGAATAAAAAATGAAGTTTTTTTTGCATTCAGTCCAAACGGATTAAGATGTATATTACCTAAGTTTATTTTTGTTAAATTGTGCGAGTTTAAAGTAGCCCGCAGTTTGAACTAATTAACGTCATTTCCCATTATTTTTAACATCTAGCACATCCAGCTCATTAAATCAAGCTAATTTGAATTGAAACCTTCTTATAGTTTCAACACAGAGGCGTAAATGGACTTCGCATACACTAGCAAAAATATGACCGATAATGCTACTGGGAAAAACTGAATCAGTAAAACTTTGAATCTAGAAAGCTTCATAAGTGACGCACGCCAATTATGAGTCTACATAATTGCTAAGTGACGGAAGCCAATTAAGACGCATTAGCAGTACCAGTCAATTTTAAAAAAAAACAAACTTATCAACCAACATGCCTCAATTTATAGAGCGGAAGCAATTAAAATAGTATACAAAAATTCAGGAAAAACATCCGACCCCGCCCAAGTTCGAACCCTCTTATTTTGCTGCTGGTCACTCTCCCTACCTTACACTACAGATCCATGATACTTTGAAGCTAAAGTGCTATTTGTAATATAATAGTCTGTGTTAATATCCTTAGCATTGACTGTACTTAATAGCTCGATCAAAATGAACACTTTCAAAATGACATATTTTGTCGCAACAATTGCATCGCAACAAGATTTGCGACTTAGATAGAAAAAAAAAGAAAGTTCATACTATAACACAAGCTATACTTGTGTACAGTAGCGGATTTAGGGGGGAGCGGGGGGGGGGGGAGGGGCGCGGACGCTCCTTCTCAGGGATTCGACCTTCTACCGACCCTTTGAACTATTTTGAGATATCCATTTTTGGCTGACGGACCCCTAATCTTTTCTAAAGGCGTCTTTGGCGCCAGTAAATACTAATTTTGAGGGAGGAGCGCGCGCCAAAAAAACGCGATTTTTTGGTCAAAAGTGTTTTAAAAGTGCCTAAAAAGCCTTTTTTGGTCTTTTTTCAAAAATTTGCCTGCGGCGCCTAAAATTTTCTCAAGTTTTGATCTTTATAATGGTTTGGGAGTGCTCAGAAAATATCAATTAGGTCAATCCTAGATCCGCCCCTGCTTGTGTAAATATATCGTTACTAGATAATAAAAAGATGCTTGATCATAGCAAGTTAAATGAACGAAACTGATTGTCTAGTGGAAAATTGCATGCAAGCTATTTCAGGAAAATTTAAAGTGATAAAGGGGAGGTGAAAAAAGGCGTTAGACATTTTCTCAGGTTGACGCTACCCGCAGCAGAAAGAGTTTGACTTGAAAGTTGAGAAGACAAACTCATTTATAACTGCGATAGTATTCGCATGCTAAGTGCCACGCGCCAATAGGCTGTTCCCCGAGCTGAAAAAAAACTCGTTTGAGTTCAAAAAATTTCGTTTTAACTGTTTACTTTGAAAAATTTCAATCTGGACTATAATTCTGAAAAAATCTGTAGCTGCTTCAGTAGGAGTCTAATTTTTTGATATACATTTATTGATCTAGAAGTAGGGACTCAATAGAACCAAATATGTCTATGTAGTCAACTTCACAACAGACGTGGGTAAAACAACAAGCATACCACAAGGTTATTGAGTGGTCGGTTTTCATTTGCATAGTCGGTTAGTGTATCCATATAAGCTTCCGCGCTCATGCCTTTGTTAAAGTAACCAAATATCAGATACTTGCTCATTTGTACTCCGCAGCATCTATCTACAAAAATATCAGTAGTGAAATATGAAATTTGTTTTCAAAAATTTTCCAATGCAGGTAGGTGTAAGCAATCTTGGTTGAGCGGGTTAATATTCACTCAAATATTCACTGATTTTCAAAGACAAAGAAAAGCCAATTATGGCTGTTTACCAGTCGAACAGATCGGTTATAAGGAACCACTTTTTTCCTTCACAGGCGTGGACTATTTCGGGCATTTTACGTTCCCATTCAAAGGAGCTCTTCGAAAAATGGGGTTTTCTTTTTACTTGCTGTAAACCTCAAGGTTGCGGCATCACTGGATACCAGCTCATATGTGATGGTCATCAAACGTTTCATCGAGCGCCATGGCACACCCAGCAGTTTTTGGCCAGATAATTATACAAACTTTAAAAACGTAAAATTTAGAAAAAAAAACTACAACAGGTAGCACAAGCTCCTTCAAAATTGACACGAATTGACACCGCTATTTTGTGCTCCGGGGTCAAATTTATGAGGAGAGGTGCCTGCTCCAAGTGGGATGGCAATTGAATGTTAATGTATAGTTGTCGTCAAGCCTTTGGACAGAAATCGCGATGATGAAACAAAGCTCAAGCCTGGATTATATATGTCGAGCATGTTGATGTGTCGCCATTGCATTGCGAGGATTTTTTCAAAAGGAAACATGATCGCATATTCTCTTTCGCCCAGATCAATTACTTGGTTTTTCGGCTGACCCTGAGGCTGTTGCGTTATATAAGCATCGAGGCAGTAATAGTCACTAAACATCAATTTACGAGTCCGAAAAAAAATACTTTAGGCGATTTCCGATCAGAAAAAAGTTACCAGATGGTCTGTTTACATACCTGAGTTGCTTGCATTGGGATCCTCGATGTAGCACATTAGTGACCAGCCAGAAGTTGAGTGACTCCCAGTCGGGCGAGGGGGGACCTACAGCCGACTCCTCGATCGATTTGGTTACAAATGTACTTCCTGTTGCTTTGCAAATGTGGTACACTAAAACAAGTTTTGTTCTTCTACCGAAAGCTCTGTTTGTGTTTCTGCTAAAACCCTTGCGTTTCTGAGACACAAATCGCTGTCGCTTATTGACATAGACCGCGAATCGGCATATTTAAAAAGAGGAAGATTTATTGCGGAGCTGATTGTATCTCACAATAATCAATGTCGGCTACAGCTGAATATCTGGTCGCAAATAACAGCCAAAAACTCAAGAAATATTTTGATTCAGTATCAACCTTAAGATTTTTTTGAGTCCACATTTTATGAGAAATAAAAACCCAAGCACGCCCCAAAATCAAGAGCTGTATTTTTGCATGGATGAAGCTGTATTTTTATATACATTGAGACTTTGTTAATGGAAACAATACAAGATTGCGCTAAGATGCTTATATATTAAGATATCTAAGATGATATGCTCAAAACTTGGAAAAGAAGGCAATTTCAAGGTAGCATCCCAAAGTTATTACTTTTAAAATTAAGATACAGCTGAAGATAATACGCTAAGTGTAACGTAAAGGTCAAGAATATAATTTTAAAGGTAATACACCAACTTTGATTCTCAGAAGAAACTTTGCAAGGCAAAGTCAAAACTTTGTAGCATTTTTTTCGTTATTTTGGACTTTAGTAGCAGTTAAGTAATTGTTGGGAATTAATTGTCAAGGAAGAACATGTGTGAAAGAGCAAAAAAAACATACTCTTCATATTTGAAAAGTTAAACGCCTATTGATATCTGATACAAAAAGTACTAAGCTCTTTGGAAATGCCTTGAAGGATGATACAAACATACTTTTTCACTTAAACCCTCGTCTGCTTCATCTAAATTGTACTTCAACTCTATAGCTCTAGAGATATATTCGACAGCATTCTCGTTAGCCATCATTCTAATCGAGGTTAATTCTGAAATCATATGCTGCACTCTCGGTCGTCAGTGCTTTTAAACTTTTTACTCAAAACTTCCCAAGCTTTGTTTCCCTTGCTTTTATGGTAAGTCAAAAGCGAATTTTTTCTAAACATTGGACTAACTCATACTAAACATGCAATTTTTTTTTCATATAAAATCTCTCGCCCTTTTCTTAAATATACCTTTCTATCTTTTGCAGTAGTAGTCTTTCAAACACCGGTTGAATAATCAATTCCATCGACTTCACTACTGATAGTTTCTTTCTAGTCAAAAAGAATAATTTTAGCTCTGCAAAAAACAAATAATTTTTTTTGCTCCTTAAAACTATCAATTTTTACCGACTGAAAGTTTTTCAACCTAATTTTAATTGCTCTGAACAATTATCTCATCTTTCACGTATTTTGTATTGAAAAAATTTTTATTTAGCTTAAAATATATCAAAAATATCATCGCAGCCATAAAATATGAAGGCATTTTTATCCTCATTTAACCCTGATCCAAAACCTAACGGTCTGCATACCAATTGGTACATCAGCGATTTAGCAAAGCTAGGGTTGCTTCACAGACTTCATACTTAGCAATATATACTGGCACTTTAGATTTTTTTTTGTGAAATTTTCTATTATTTAAATCTTGTACAAGTTCAGATCTCAACGCGACGGATTACGATCTCCCCAAGCAACAATAGAGTTTTTACAAATTTATAGAACACCACATTATTTAAGTTTGTCAAATTGAACAGTTTATCAGTTTCTATCGATCTTTTTCTCTTTCTCCCTCTTTCTCTCTCTCTCTCTCTCTCTTTTCTTTCTTTCTCTCTTTCTTTTAAACGCCGTGTCTATATCATTCACTCTTTCTTTTTCGTGTGTGCTTCCTTTGGCTTTGATTCGTGACTTTCTTGTGACTCCGGCCTCAATGCTGTGTTGTTCATCTGCCAGTCCACTATCATCCGTTGGACTTTTTTCCTCGGTTTTCTTTTTTGGCGTGATTTTACCTGTGTCACCAGTTCACCGCAAGCTCTGTTAAAATCTTTGTTAAGTCAATCATTCTTCAATTTTAACACAAAATTTGGCAGCTGGGCGCATAAATTTTCACAGGTTGGCGGCAAAACTAAGTATAATCAACAGTCAAACTAGAGAGCGATAAAAAGTAGTAAAGCAACTTCTATGTATATGGAAATTTAACCGCATGTTAAGATCTGATCTTGTGATATGCATCGCGTGTTATCGCGCGACATCGTGCAATATCCAATCATGTTTCTAATTTGAACCGAAAAGTGAAAGAAGACGTCTTTATAAAGTAAGAAGTCATTTCTCCAAAACTTAGTTTTTTCCAATATATTTTCTTGAGTTTCATCGCGGACCCTATTATCTGATTTTCAAGGTCTGTTTCTAATCACTAGATTTTGAATGATTTGATATAATTCTCTTGATCTCGGTTCACGGACTTTGTTCGCTAGGTTTCGATCTTCGTATTTAATATCCTCAAACTGCTTTCCTGATAGGGCTCACTTGTTATGAAATTTTGAACTTGTTTCTCTGGATCAGTTTTTCATGTTTTTCCTTTTTCATGCTTTTTACTTTTCTGTTTTAAAATTTACAAAACTCTGAAAGCTCCCGAACATTAAAGCTTCAAATTATTTCTGCTTTTTTAGCAAATAATTTTGTAACCTTTCAAAATTTTTGAAGTTAACTTGCAAGATTTTGGTCAGATTTTGCACATTTCTGGCAATCATTTTTTGGTCGAAAGTAGTGTTTTTCACATTTTTGACAGTCAAAACCTCACTGCCCGAGTCGAGTTTGAGTTTTTTCACCTAATTTGAAACAAGGTTTGAGCGGTTTGAGCTGTTTTTAAGCGCTCAAAATCTTGCTTAAAAATGAGTGGTTTGTCTAAAAAAAAATTGATCAAAAACCGCTCAAGATTTGAGGGGTTTGTCTAGAAAAACCGCTCAAAACCGTTCAAATCTTGCGCGGTATTTGAGCGTTTTTTTAGCGTTCAACAATCGCTCAAACCGCTCATTTTGAAGCTAGATTTTGAAGCCAATTTAGGTATCATCCACAGTTGAATTAGAGAGCACTAAAAGATTAGTAAAACAACTTCTATGTAGTAGTTAGATCATAGTTGAAAAATGCCGGAGAGAAAAAGAACCCGGGCTGCCGATGGCTCGAGTTGCCGATGGCGGCTCTTTTGCACGAGGCTATTTTCAATTATGTTCTATGCTAGAAAGATGCCAGAAAAATGTGAAAGATCGGAAAATTGTGAAAAAGCCCGGAAAAGTTTGCAAAACTATGCTAATAATTTCTTTTTCCATTCATGCATTCTCATATTTCAATTTTCATTCATGCCCTGTCAAGGAAGAACACGTGTGAAAAAGCAAAAGGATACACTTCATAAATGAAGAGTTAAACGCCTCTTGATATCTGATCTCGTGAAATAATATCGCGTGATATTGCTTGACATCGTGCAAAAATCAATCATGTTCTGAATTTGAACCAAAAAGTGGGAAGCGACTCTGTAATCTGTAATGTAAGAAGTCATTTGTCCAAATTTTAAGACTTTTGCTTTCAATTTACGTAATGCGTTATATCCCACACTAGTCTGGAGCTTCTGTTTTACCATGTCCCGTACAATTTTTGTTGAGAGCAATATCAGAGTTTTGTGTCTTAGCTTAAAAATTCTGATTGTTTTGCTTGCTACGCTTTCAAGCTTCTTACCCTCTAATATCTTTGAACCTTTGTTCAAGTCCATACTCCGAAATTCTTCAACCTCATTGATGCTTCTCGACTCCTACTTTAACGGTTCATCTATGGAAGATTTAGTTTTTGGATGGGCTCTTAACTCATTTTGCAGCTCAACGTATTTCACTTTATCATCGTGTTTCTAATCAAATTCTAAGCATGCTTACAAAAAAATCTCAAACTACTCTTCTGCTTTCCAAATCCCCTTTATTTTCCAATTGAAAAGATCTTTTTGCTCACTTAGAGGATAAATGGTTCCATTTCCTTGCTCAAGACATAGCTTTTCTCCAAAAACAACTCTAGCTCTTCCTCTAAAAAGTTTTGAGACTGACACTAAGTTCCCTGAATTCGCTGATAAAAAGAAACAATCACTTATTGTAACGTTTTCAAAAACTATGTGGGAGTTTCTCAAAGTTCATTGAACTCTCCTTTCTACTAAGACATAAGAGTCCGTTTTATTAGTATTTGAAACAAATCTACTAAAATTCTTGTCCAGCTCAAATAATAATGTTTTATCCTTTATCATATTGCAAATTGCACCTAAACCTATAGCTAAGTCAACCTCAACTCAATCGGTTGAGTTGTAAGAACTAAAATGAATTTAATTTCTTTCAGCCACTTGTTGCTCTTCCCTTGTGTTTTTTCCTTCTTACAATCCCTGGCTACTTGTCCTAATTCTAAGCACCTGAAACTTTCCACAGGATTTCTATCACTGAGTGAGTGGTTTACCTTATCCACTAGTTTGGATCTAAAGGAATCTAAAAAGTTTCATAATTTAATGCACCTAAAACACGCTTTTTCCTATGAAATGAACGAATATTGAATCACCTCCTCATTCCTATGATCACTTTTAAAACATGTCAAGTCTTTCCTACTTTCGGTCAAAGTCTTATCATCTTTGCTAGCCTTTATACAAAAAAAAACGAAAAGTACTAAGTTCTTTGGAAATGCCTTTATGGATGATACAAACAGACATTTTTTCACTTGAACCCTCGCCTACATCATCTAATTCGTTATTCAACTCTTCAGCTGTAGAGATGTATTCGTCAACACTCTCGTTAGCTATCATTCTAATCGTGGTTAATTCTGAAATTATATGATGCACTCTCGGTCGCTCAGTGCTTTTAAACTTTTTACTCAAAACTTCCCAAGCCTTGTTTCCCTTGCCTTTATGGCAAGTCAAAGGCAAAAAAGTTGTTTTCTAAACATTGGACTAACTCATACTAAACATGCATTTTTTGTTCATCTGAAATCTCTCGCGTTTTTCTTAAATATACCTTTCTATGTTTTGCAGTAGCAGTGTTTCGAACACCGGGGGCATAATCGATTTCATCTACTTCACTCCTGATAGTTTCCTT